AACTAATGTGCTGCTTTCACAGAAAAACTTTGAAAGATTCTCAGAAATGTTGGAGAACTACTGTTCAAGACTTTAAAAAAACGAAAAGAGAAGATGACTCCTTGGAAGCGAAATATAAAAAAAGAGTGGGCGTCTCAAGACTTTTTGCAGAGTTCTGTACTTTACATAAACATGTGATAGAAACCGAGATATGTAAAACTTGTCAGTGGCTGTTAGCCTCAAACACGTTCCTTTTTCTAACCTTTGGTGAAATTTGTTGATAATTAGGTGGCGTAAACACAGGAAGAGAGGAGAAGCGATGTGCGTGCAAAAACCATCGTCTGTCGGTGAAATTCAGGAACTTGTGGTGCGGCACAAGTGAAGGGGTACCTTCATGTTAACTACTGTGAGCTTTGAGGTGAGCAATTGCAGCAACAACCACTGGCCACAAGATACACTGTTTATCGACATATAACAGGGAGGGAAATATACAAAAGGGTTATGCACACAACCAGAATGTCCACTAGCATCCAGCTAGAAAACAATGGGCAATGACTGGATAGGTTTATAACTAAACAGGGTTGTTCAGGTGTTTCTCACCTCCTAGACAAGTTTTCCAGCTTTAAAATGAAACCACTTTTTAAAGTACTTTTCTCGACTCTCAAGGGATGTTCCATGAGGTAAACAAAGGTACACAAGTTCTCGAGAAGGAACGGTAAAGTATATCTTTATATCAAAGGCAATTTGAAGTTCACTCTGAGGGGTATTTGTAGAGAGCGAAAAGCACAGTGACAAAAAAAGCTCTAAAACAAAGATAATATTCAGATAACACAGATAAGTCAAAGAACACAATTTTTACTCAGTTTTTGATTTTAAAAAGCATTAAGAATACAAACGCACAGGCTCAGACAAACACACAGTTTCTCTCACACACACACACACTGACTCAAACATAAGCTCTATAATTTCCTGTAGTGGATATAAAGGGATGCTAAATTATCAGCACAGAAAATAAGTTAAATTCACGCTTTAATTTCCTCGCAAAACACACACGCGCACACACAAGTCCTCGGAATGCAAATGGAGACACAATGCACGTAATCAAGTACACAAGCAGGGGTAAGCACGCAGACACACGTGTACACCGAAATGTACGCGGAAGGAAAGAAACAGAAAGAAAGGATAAAAGAAAATTGAAAGCCAAGTAATGAGAACTTTATGGAATTACAGCTCTGTGTCTGTGTGTGTGTCTAGTCTGTGTGTGTGCGCGAGCGCGTGTGAGCGTGTGCGTCCTTTAAACATAATTAGCTCCATCGGGCAGAAATGTAAACGAGAGAAACTTTAATGAAACTCTTCTCTGATCTGCTGAAAGCACACATTCCCGTTTATCTCTCTCAGTTCGGTCTCTCTATTTTCTCTCTCTGTCTCTCACATGGAATTGAATGTCACGCATGGGACTTTTAAAACCTCAAATGCCCGTGTTTCAATACTGCAATATGACCACACTGTGTTTGTAAGGCCAAATCCACACTTTCTTTTGCTTATGTGCATTTATGCAGTCCGTGTCGTCCTTGAGGTGGAATTCCCCTCGGAAACACAAGCTGGAATTTATTAGATGATGTACGTTTTGGACAGAGTCACACATGTTCGGGTATATCTACATATGTTCACATATGTTTGGCTCGGAGGCAAACCTTTCTCAGCCCTACTTAACTGGAAAAACCGCCATTACTCAAAGTCTGCCTCGTTCCATTTATAAACTCAAACATCAACCGAGCTTTTAGCTTAATTTCATCTCTAAACCTCATTCGCTTTCTATCCTTGTCTCATACAGTCAGTAAAACAGCTAGAAAATAACATTTCAGACTGAGAAAATGTCTTCAATGTAATAAATCACTATGAAAACAAAGCCAATAGTGGGCCAATGTCTCAACAAGGCAATGCTGTGCGGCAATTATAGATCAGGGCTTTCAAAAGAAAATATTCTCTCCCCTCCACCGAGCAAAAAGCCTCACAAAACCGGAATACTAAGAACTGTGGGTTCTTTATGTGTATGTGTGAGTGCACACCTGCGTGGGAGCGTTTGTGCACGTCTGATGGCTTTTGTGTGCGTGAGGTGTGTGTCGATCCCCGCGTATTGGGCGAGTTGTCCTTTGAGGAAAAGAAGGGAAATGAAAGAAAAAGAACGAGAGGAAAAAGGAGGAGGAAGACAGATCGATGCAGCGGACAGTAGAAAGAACAAGTAAGGATGAGGGAAACATACAAAAACCACAGAACCACATGCACACACTCTCACAAACGCACACAGGTTGGGATGAAATATGACTGGCCATTTGTTTCCATATTTGCCGGGTTTTAATCATATACTTCCTCCCTACTAAATCACCCCCTGCATCCCTCCATCACTGCCTTCCGCCTCCTCTTGAACTATTTGGATTTTGGATGGATTTTTAACAGACTCTGCCCTCTTGAGTCCACATGCCACATTTAAATTACACCAAAAGTTTGTTTTTGTGTGTGTTCAAAGCTATTTCTGATTCTTTTTTTTTTTTTTGCATTAGTGCCCCTCCCTCACCCCGCCCAGTGATGAGTCAACTCCAGCCCATGTGTCTATGTGTGCCGGGCATATTTATGTTTGTGTGTGTCAGTGCAAGCCATGGAAACTGAGAATAAATACTGTGCAGTGAGAAGAGGAAGAAGAAAAGGCCATACCTTATGAAGCTACTTAAGCAACAAGTCGTGTTCAGCTTCGTCTCTAATAAACTGCTTGTTTCTCATCTCCTTTTATTCTTTTTTTAGTTGTTTTCATCTTCAAAGATTCACTCTGGGTCTTTGTCTGTTTATGTAAACATCTGCTCTTTTCTTTAGGCTCTCATAGGCAGCACAGATGCAAATGGAACAGTCAGAGATGGCTCATACGAAACTTGGTCTTCACAAAACATAGAAGATATTTAAAATGAGCTGCTACCCTTACTGGCCTGCTGATGGGTCGGCCATTGCAAACCTGAAGCAGCCAAATCGTTTTTTAAGTGAGCGGTTCGCAGACGTTTTCAGGCCTGGAAATGGACTGACATTTATACAGCTCTTTTCTGGTCTTACTGACCACTTAACGCACTTTAAGCCACAGGCCACATTTGCCCATACAGAGCTTTAAGCACTTTATCTGCCTCACATCCACAGCAGCGACTCTATTCGCCACGAGCGACATCACCCCCACAGTTTGAGAACTACTGGTTTACATCTAGAGACAGACAACAATTCACGCTCACATTCACACCTCTGAGTAATTTAGAATCACCAGTTAACATAGTCCCACTAACTGCACGTCTCTAAAGCCAGAGTACTTGAAGAGAACCGATGCAGACGCGGGGAGAACATGGAAACTCTCGACAGAAAGGCCCTAGCGAGATGGTGGATTCAAACCCAAGATCTTCTTACTGTGGGGCAACAGTGCTAACGACTGTTCCACCACAATGCCCTCCTCTGAATGTGAATGTGAATGGTTGTGTGTCTCTCAGTGATGGCCCTGCAGTCACAGGGTCCAGGGTGGACCCCCCTCTAAATGAATGGATGAATGGTTTATATCCATAGCTTTGGAGGAAATGTGTATACAATATGTATAAAAAAAGAGATAATATTCATCCTGATGGAACGATGATGATTTAAAAAGCCTCAAATGTGAATATTTGACTCTGCAAAAACATTTCATAATATTAGTGAATATCTAAAATAAGCATACATGTCAAACTGTCAGACTGTTAAGAATAACACTGAGTCAGAGTGAAAGTGAAAAACGTGCTCGCCAAATTTACAAATCTGTATTGACCAGTCTCCTTTTGTTCTGTACATTTATAATTTTGAAAAGATTTTCTTGACTAGCTGCTCTTTCCATAAAGAGCAAGCAAGAAAGGGGTGAGTGATTTGTTATACTCTTATCTCCGTCTGACTTTTCCCGTCTACGTCTTTTTATCTTAATCTTCCACTGTTCTCTCTCACGCATGCACGCATGTTCTCTCTATCTGTGCCTCCTTCTTTCAGTCTTAGCCTCCCACTCTCTCACAGAGACACACTGCCCCACCCACGATAATGAGTAAACCTCTTGCTGCCCCACCCTGCCCAGCCTGCCAAGTTACTGCCAACACCTCACACAGACAAACACACATTCACACACATCCAAAAGGCCAAACCCCAAGTCCTACAAAGGGCCCATGGACTCGAATCACACAGCAGCATATCCGTACACACACTAAGAACACAACTTTAACACTCAATACTACTATTTACGCAGCCCCAAGTCAAACCCTGACACCACACACACTCGTACACACACACACTAACTCATACTTATATATATACAGAGAGAGAGAGAAAGTTCAGTCTATTCTGATCTAATGTGATCATAGCCAATAAGCTCTGTGGTGCAGGCAAACCACAGTTTGTTACTGCCAGTCAATGACATCACTGTGAAGTCAAAAGCATTGTGGTCCACAAAGTAGTGTGAGGGAGCTGACTGACACGTGGTAGCCATGGGAACTGTCAGTTTTCCTCCCCGTTTCCATAGCAGCGGGTGGTTTTCTCACTGTTGTGAGTTCAATTTTTTTAAAGAAGATGAATGCCGCCTATGGGAAAGGAAATGATGTCATGGAATCATATGCACAGGGACAGATATGAACACACGCAAGCATTTGGGTACACACTCTGCTAGCCAACCCAAATCTGCTTAAGCCCTCAAAATATGATGGAAGAATAAAAGATTACAGTGTATGGGCTCAATGCATGAGATCTAATCCTCACATCTGAGTGAAAGGAAAGATGAGTTTAAGATGAAAGTGTATTAATAGAAGGTCCCTGATAACTAAGGCTTCTCAGCAGGCAGGATCTGGCTACAGAGGCCTAGCTACAAAGGCTCCCATTCAGAGAGCTACACGCAAAAGTCAGGGTGTAAATGAGACAAAGAAGAAGGATTTTCATCTCATTAGAATGAGATGAAAAGCAGGGGTTTTTTGCATGTTCCACCTTACCCTTAGCAAGGACTGGGATTCCTCTTTATTGGCTCCTCCTTTCCCTTCCTGTCCTCCGCCACCTCCGCCACCACCACCAGTACTTCCTCCTCCTGTGTACTGCTGGGGGGTCATCTGGCTCTGCTTCTCGCCAGCTCCAGCCCCACCTGAAGCGGTTGATCCTGGTCTCCCTCCTCCATACTTGGCATCTGCCAAAAAGGACTTTGTATCTCCCAAAAATGACTTGGTGTCTCCCAGGTAAACCATGCTAGGTGAGGCCACGCCTCTTTTCTGCTGTGAGACTTCGTGATTGGCTGGGACAAAAGACAGCGACAGTGGGGAGGTGAAAAGAGATGGGCTCCCACTTCCTGCACCTCTTTCAGGTCCCATTCGCTCCTTAGGCACCCAAAGTAAGCCGTGGGCCTGCTCACCCCCTCTTTCCCCCAGTCCTCTTGTCTCACCAAGAACCCAGCCCTTTTCCCGTTCTCTTTCTTTCTCCTCAACACCCTCACTTTTTACCAGCCCGCCTGCCTCTTCTCTGCCACCTTCGGCCAACCGTCCCTCAGGCGGCGCCAGGGAGTAGAGGAGGCGGATATCCCCTTTGCTCTCTTCTTTAATGGCTAAAGTAGAAGGCGCTGAGCAGCCATTGGCCAAGAGTGTTAGGGAAGGAGTCAGTGAGGTGGGCAAGGAGGTTGTCGTGAATGAGCCTAACGAGGGAGAGGAGTCGTGACAGTGAGCTGAGTTGAAATGGTCGAGGAGGGCTGATGAATCTGGAGCCGTGAAGTCGCAACGTCGACAGCGACAACACGCGTGGACACGCCTGCCGAGAGAAAAGAGCAGTGTGTAAATTACTCATGAATACAAAACGGACCTTCAGAAGGAACAAAATATTCAGCATTAAAATACACACTAGTACATATTGTTTGCTTTTATGTTAACCATAAAGTAATACTGCTAATTGCAAAAATAAGCAGTTTATTCTTGAGTTGCTCAAACCTTCTCTGAACAAATGCATTGCAAGTCACATCGGAGACGTGACTTTTTTTGTCACGGTCTGCGGAGGCAGACCGTGCGGAAATGTGTGTGGTGGACCCAGGAGCGAACACAAGCGAGGATGCAGGAGTGGAGTTAAACAAAAGCGAGCCTTTTATTCTGGCTGATGAAAGGAACAAAACAGAGTGAGGGCAGCATAAGAGTAATAGTTCAAACAGAAACCTAAACTGGACATAAACTAAGGAAAAGCTATGGCTGGAGATCCGGAACACAGGGGGTGGTAACACAGACAACGCGACACAGACTACATGAAACACAGAGACTAAATACACAAGAGGGATGATCAGGGGAAGTGGCCACACATGGGAACACAGCTGACACAGATAAACATAACAAGACATGGCAGGAGTAAACAACACTGACAGGAGACTGTCAAAGTAAAACAGGAAGTACACAGGTGCAAACAGGAGGAGAGAGAGAGCGCGGGCATAGTGGGCTGGGGAAACATGGAATGAAACAAGGAGGGGAGATGAGGGCTCACAGATACATAGAGGGGCACACAGGGGATAAAAGTCACAAGGGGAAGTCAAATAAGGAACAACACAACAGGACAACTTAGGAAACATGGCCTAAATAAGGAACGAAATACAAAAATATAAGAAACTAAGAATACTGGGCCCACATGGCCCAGGACCATGACATTTTTGAAAAGAGATAGAGATAGAGATAACTCTTTATTGTCATTGCACAGTCATACATAGTACAGTAGTACAATGAAATTGGAAAAACTGTCCTACGTCGGCACTACATATAACACAACACGACACGATATGACACATCACAACGTAACAAACAACACAACACAGTATATTAACTTAGTATAAAAAAGAAGAATAAGTGTATGTGTATTGCACACTGTTATTATTGCACATTAATTATTATTGCACCTTGTTATAAATATAAATATTATTGTTATCGTTTTAAACATTGTAAACTCCCCCTAAAAAGTCCAGGGAGGTATCCAGTCAGGTCAGCTATTTACATTGATCAGGGCTATTGCCCTGTTGTAAAAGCTGTCCTTGAGTCTATTTGTTCGGGACCTCAGCAGCCTGAACCTCCTGCCAGACGGCAGCAGCTTAAACACCCGGTGTCCTGGGTGTGTGCAGTCCCGTAGGATGCTGCGTGCCCTCTTGAGACAGCGAGTGCTGTACAGGTCCTTCAGGGAGGGAAGAGGATGTCCAATGATTTTTTGGGCCATGTTGATGACCCTCTGGAGTGCCTTTCTGTGTGCTGTGGTGCAGCTGGAGAACCACACACCGATGCAATATGTCAGCACACTTTCAATGGAGCAGCGGTAGAAGACGGTCAGCAGCTCCTTCTTCAGGTCCATTTTTCTGAGGATTCTCAGAAAGTGGAGACGCTGTTGGGCCTTCTTTAAGACCGCAGAGGTGTTAGAGCTCCATTGGAGGTCTGTGTCTATGTGCACACCCAGAAACTTGAAACTGGAGACCCTTTCCACGCACTCCCCGTTGATGCTGACAGGCTGCAGCTCGGACTTCCTCCTACTGAAGTCAACTACCAGTTCTTTTGTTTTGGTGGTATTGAGGTCCAGGTTGTTGTCTGCACACCAATCTGACAGCCTCTGAACTTCAGCTCTGTATGCAGTCTCATCTCCCCCTGAGATGAGCCCCACCACGGTGGTATCATCTGCAAACTTGATGACTGTGTTGTCTGGGTGGGAACTAACACAGTCATGTGTGTACAGAGTGTACAGTAGGGGACTCAGTACACAGCCTTGTGGAGAGCCGGTGTTGAGGCTGAGGGCTGAGGAAAGATGAGGCCCCACTCTAACTCTCTGTACACGGTCTGAGAGGAAGTCTCTGATCCAGCGGCAGGTGGTGGAAGGAAGTCCAATTTCCAGCAGTTTATCTATTAGTCTGTCCGGGAGTATCGTATTGAAAGCAGAGCTAAAGTCAAAAAAGAGCAGCCTGGCGTAACGGCCCTGCACTTCCAGGTGAGAGATGGTGGTGTGGAGCGTTGTAGCAATGGCATTTTCAGTTGATCTGTTAGCTCTGTATGCAAACTGGAGCGGGTCGAGTGTGGGTGGCAGGCAGGACATGATGTGACGTCGGACCAGTTTCTCAAAGCACTTCATTATAACAGGTGTTAGAGCAACTGGTCGGTAGTCGTTGAGGCTGCTAATGTTAGTACGCTTTGGCAGTGGGACAATTGTGGCTGACTTTAGGCACGGCGGGATGCAGGACTGGGACAGTGAAGTGTTGAAGATCTTAGTGAAGACCCCAGCCAGCTGGTCTGCACACTCTTTTAGGACCTTTGCGGTTACCCCATCTGGTCCGGTGGCCTTCCTGGGGTTCACTGCCCTCAGTGTGCGCCTCACCTCATATTCCTGCACTATGAGGCTTGGGCTGCTGCTGTCCGATGTTTTTGCTGCTGCTGCCTCTGGTCCCTTCACCTCAAAGCGTGCGAAGAAGTGGTTCAGCTCCTCTGCAAGCGCCGCGTTACCCTCAGTCAACGTGGTATTGCCAGGTTTGTAGTTGGGAGATCCCGTCATCAGTGGTTATCTTCACCGTGCATGAGTCACAGTGAAGTCAAAGTAACACTAATAAGGCTGAACGTAAGAGGAAAGACTTAAGTAACTAGTTTTGTTACTGGCAACAAGAAAGTCAGTTCATGTTTGAATCTATTGCTCTAAAATGTAAATACAATTAATTCCAATAGGATTTTCATCACTCACAGTTTGAAGAAAATCCACCCCCTGTACTGACTAAATCTAAAGTGCATTTGCCCCTGCCTAAATTCCCCCAAACACTCAGGTAGAGTTTCACAGAGCTCGAGGCCAACAAAGTGACTCAGTGCCCCACTAAATCACAGTGAATTACTTCAAAATCGTGAGGACCATAAATGAATCTGAATGACATGTACTGGATCGCCCATCAATAAACCACCTTCATTTCCTGCTGGCGAGGGCGACCAGCGATATATCTGATACACAGCGTCAAGATTTTTTCCTGGCACACACAACAGCCGTGATGCTTCTTGTGCAGGCCAACAAGCAAAGCATTAAACCATCTAGAACAAGAACTTGTGTGTTGTTTACAGTGGACCTCGGCAGGCTCGGTTTGCCCCGCAGCTGTCACAGACAGATATACCAACACATGAATAAATGTTTCACAGAATAATGAAGCTGTTCATTTTGTCTGCACTTGGATTATGTAATTGTTTTGCTGGTATATTTATTAATGATGGTAGGCCACAGTTTAACAATTGGTATCTTGTAGTTATTCATATTCCTTTGTCAATATCGTCATTTACCACATAATTCACTTAAATCCAAAATTACACTTGCTTAATTGCTTCACTCAGATGTCATAAGAAAACACCGCTTTTCCCAACACTGCCTGTTTTATTCTTTTAGGCTTTTCCCACCAGTAGGTTATTATCGCTGCATATTACAGCAGAGTGAGGGTTTTACAATAGCAGACAATAAACACGGACCAAAAGTCACTGAAAACAGGGGAAAAAAGCATATCCAGTCATTTTTCTCCATTTTGCGACTCGCATCCTCTGGTTTCTGCTTTGAACCCTACCATAATATTTCCTCATCCAGGAAAAAACAAAAACAAAACATTTAAGGCGTGAATTTGAAAACAATGAGAAGATATTGCAGATCCAGACCCACACAAACATTTACAATACGTCCCGATATATAACCTCTCAGAATACTCTATGTATTCCTCTTTGCTGTCTTGTACGTATGATGCATGATTTCTATACAACAGCAAGTGAAAATACAGAAATAAATATATACTTCTGACATAAACTTATCTTATTCATCATCCTGCCTCATATTCTCTTTCTCCCTTTATTAGCTGTTGAAGAATATATAAAAGGTCTGCACCTCTAGCAGATCACAGAGGCTGAAATATTTGCAGAAATCTGTGAGAACGTGTGAATGAAAAAGCATATAGTGTGTCCATTAGACTTATGTCTCCAGATGCTGAACGACACAGCAGCCTTGATTTATCATCAGCATCCACACGTGGACTGGCATACCTACTGATTTCATCATTTACTGGGTCTGTCACTGTTAACACTACTTTCCTACGGGAAATGTTGAAGCAGACATAAAAAATATGCTTCTTCTATCTGTATTTTAATAATAATTTATCCATTTGTAATAAACAGTTTCTAGTTTGCACTAGAATCATGTCCTAAAGCTTGTTTTGATAAATCTGGCACTGTGAATCCGTGGACTGAGCCTGACCAGTGCTGTGCATGTGGCTAATTTGGGGAGTTATAGTGAGTTAATACACAACAGAGCCAGCACAGATTCAAAGTTTTATAGTTTTGCTAATGTTTACGCTCAATGCCGCCATCTTGGATTGTTAACTCTTACTTACTGGGGCCCCTCAGTCTGAGTTCCAGATTCAAATTCTGACTTGGAACTCTGAAATTCCGATTTCTGACTCCTTTAGGATTGCAGCATTGTTCCATCAGTAGGGTAAGAAACAGCGAGACAGTGGGAAAAAAGTCTCTTTTTTTCTCCAAATATCTTATTATAGCAATGCACTCTGCAGCATCCAGAAGCACAATTTGTGTTTTGTAGACTCACTAGCCACTTCATTAGGTTCAGCTGTTCAACTGCTTGTTTATGCAAATGTCTAATCAGCCAATGATCAAGTTCAAACGGAACAAAAATGGGGAAGGAAGGTGATTTAAGAGTGTCTAAATGTGGCACGGTTGTTGAGACACATAGGGTAGTCTGAGTATTTCAGAAACTGCTGATCTGCAGGGACTTTCCCACACAACCATCTCTAGGGTTTACAGAGAGTGGTCTGAAAAAAATGTAAAATATCCCATCAGTGGCAGTGCTGTAGGTGAAAATGCCAGACTGCTTCAAAATGATAGGAAGGCAAAAGTAACTCAAATAACCACTTGTTACAACCAAGGTATACAGAAGAGCATCTCTGAATGCACTCCTGCAGGCTAAAAGCAGGTGACCTAGGTGACAATTCACCTGGGCTTACCAAAATTGGACAAGAGAAAATTGGAAAAATGTTGCCTCGTCTGATGAGTTTCAATTTCTACTGCAACATTCGGATGGAAAGCATGGCTCTTGTAGCAATGGTTCAGGCTGGCCATCACGTTATAACCACAGTGTACCCATCTTCTGATGGCTCCTTTGAGCAGGATAACCCATCATATCAATGCTCAAATCCTCTCAAACTTGAAAATTACAATAAATCTTCTCTACTCAAATGGCTTCTTTGGGATGTGTTGAAAGAGGAGATTCGGATCACAGGATGTGCAGTCGACTGAGGAATGTTTCCACACCGGAATTTAGGCTGTTTTAAAGGCAAAAGGAAGTCCAAAGTGGTACTAGCAAGGTGTAACTAATAAAAATGACCGGTGAGTGTAGTCCACTGCGGCTTTACCATTGGTTGGCTCCCCATTTGTGGACAAAATCCTTTTTACTGTGACTGGCTCTACCCGGACCAATACATATATATCTGATATGTGGGTAAAGAACCTGTGTGACTGGCTGCTATGGGTGTAATTTTAACATGACCACTGTCAGCCATCAGATTGTACTTAAGGTGTATATTAGCAGCTAGGTGAGAGTTTATCTATAAAACTTATGGATTGATTGGCTTCCCTCAGCTGACAATCTTTTTCGCATTACACAGCAGCATCCTTTGATCTGAACACCCTATAATTACATGCTGCTTTTTGTTTTCTAAGACTTGGCCTTCAGATTTAAAAAAAAAAATGGTTGTTTTTAGATGCAGCATGAAACTTTCTGGCTTTATTTCACTTTTATTTGATTTGAGCTCCAAGATTCAGGGCTTAGATTTTGTTAAGGACGTGAATGAACTGTTAAATCCCCTGCAAACTCTGCTTTGTCACCCTTCTCTCTGAATTTCTCTCTCTGTATTTCATTCACCTTCCCTCTTACATTCCTTCTTCTAACCTTCTTTCTTCCCTTCCCGTCTTTCGGTCCTTGCCATCTGCTGTTCTCATCAGGCTGTCAAAAGAGAAAAGTTCTCGAGCCGCAAACTGCGACAGCATTGTTTTTGACTGAGGAAAGGCTCATCTCTGAATGTGCTCCCGATGTGCGTGCTCTAAAACCCTAACTGAGAACCGTTCAGATACTCCTGTGAACATTTGCGCTTGAATTTATGAATCCATCCGTAGCTTAACACACAGGGTGCGCTTTATCATCAATCCAATTTCGTGTAATTAAGTTATCTCAGTGTGTGGGCTCTACGCTCACACACTGAGTATCCATAACATACCTGAGGCAACGACAGAAAAACTAACAGCTAGGCAGACGAAAACTGTGAATTCCTCTGCATTTAATATCTTCGCATATTGCTTGTGTTTCTGCCCTCGCATGGAAAGAAATTGTCTTTGGCATCACTTCTCGTGAGGAGCAACCACATTTAAAAAGAGTTTGAGGCCCTGTGCCTGTGTGTGCTGCATGGTGCTGCAGTTAAAGGGAGTGACAGCTGCCTCTGCCCCAGGCACACAGGCTCAGAGAGGAGGATCTCCATTCTTCATGGGAATAAAGAAAGTGCAGCATATTGTTTTAAAACCCTGACAGCAGAAACAATCACAGCTTATCGATACTTTGTTCTTTGATAATTTAGCCTGATTTAGATACCAATGCCAAGTGACAACATATAATAAAACATTCCGATCAGTAGTGTAGATTAGTAACTGCAAATCTCCACACAACTATCTCCAGTTTTTTGTGTCTTTGGGCCCAGCTTTCCCACGCCACTCCCCTTTTTCCCACCCCACCCCACCCCAACTCATCCTTTCATCTTTTTCTGTCACTAAATCTGAATCTAGAAGACAGGATTGGCTCTGGAGTCCAGTCTAGCCTCTACAGCCTGTAAAAGTGAGTTTTTGGTATTTTTTAGAAAATATACATATAAATTTAGTGTATACATTTACCTGTGCAAATAAAAAGAGAAAATTCCCACCTTCAGGGAAACTTAAATCCTTCTTGCACTTGTCAGTGTGAGACAAATGTAATATTTTTGAAACCTAGATTTCATTTTTTGATTAAGACCTTGTTACTTTATTTTTTCACGTAGTGCAAGACAAACTCAATAGGACCTTTCTGACCACTCACTTTCAGACAGTGAGCAGACGTGGGTGAAATGTCAAAGACTGTAAAGCTTGTTGCAATATTGGGGTTTTGGCTTCACAGGCATCCAAGGTGCATTTAAAGAGGAATGCGTCTTAAGTCGTCTAATCTCCAGCAATGTACGACATGGAGTAACTTTAATGTGAACGTAAGGCCAAAGCCTTTTGCCCCTCGAGAAAACAGCCCATAAGCCACAACATGGTGCTTTCATAGATATTCGACTCATGGACTTCATCACAGACGGGTGTGTGTAATATCAGTTTGAAAATCTGCAACACGGGCTATAAATATGTGATCATATCTGTGCAGCTTCCAGGTGAGAATGTCAACATGGTGTCTGCGAGTAACTTAAGCGTACAATTTTCTTTCTTTTTTTCCTCTCACTGAACATTTACTTGATAAGTGAGTGTAAGAAGGAAGAATCGCAGGGGTCTGAAACAAAGCACAGGAATTTGCACCTAACTTGAACAAAATTTTTCAGATTCTTGCCTTTTTTTTCCCCATGATGAATTCAATCAAAGTAAATACTCGATCTGTATGAGATTCTATGTCTTAAAAAGTTAACTGACTGCATGCACGGCAAAAAAAAAGCACAGATTTTTGAAAAAGATGGAAAACTGAATGGCTCAACCCTTGCAGAAAAAAACACTACATAATGTAAAAAAACATCATCAAGAAGCTACCTTTGGCTGCTCTCTTATTTACAAGGGCCACAGGGGGTAGCTCTGCATGTTTGATTGAATTGGCAGATTTCTTTTAGGTCAGATGCCCCCCCTACCATGACCCCAAAGGGATTTGTGTCTCCTCCCGGGATCAACTGGGGCACTGTTAGCTTATTAGCTTATTAGGCAGGGGGAAGAAAATACATCCTATCAAATAACACAATTATAATGACCATGCAATCTCACCTGTAGTGTCTAAAAATCTCTTCTTCCACTTCTGTAATGAAGTGACACTTTGTACATGAGTACTCCCTCTCTCCTGCGCCTCCTCGCCCTCCTTCCTTGTCTCCCGCAGCTTCTTCCTCAGCTTTGACATGTGGGGGAGCCCCCTTTAGGTTGATCAGGTTGTGGCAGCTTTCATAGTGTTGCAGCAACACGTCAATGTCAGTGGTAGCAAATGCACACTGGTCACACAAGTGGGTGACGCCTACGACAGGAAAGCGGGACCAATCAGAAGCAAGAAGCGAAGAATTTAGGGTCATGCTGGAAAAGCTCCAGAATCAGGCTTCCGATAAATGTTATATATATATATATAAATAACATATGCCTCCAAATACCTTGTGTGACAACAGGATGGGCGGGGTTTGAGGGGTGAAAAGTAGAACCAGAAATCCCACTGTGGTCGCCTCTAGGATTAGGAGGAGTCACGCTGGGTGAGGTGGTGACAGCAGGTTTTGAACCAATGGCGTCCTGCTGTTTGGCGAGTTGAGGGAACTTTGAACAGCATTTGGGGCAGGTGGGCTTCCGACAAGCGAATGGGTGGGATACCTGTTGAAACAAATTAGAAAAAAAGGTAAGAGCAAAAGTGGTTTGAACCTTCAAATTCTTTACTGATTACTGCCGATATAAGAAGAATCTCGTTTTGATGCTGTGGCGTAGCCGTGTATTTTCTATGAATCTAATAAAGAAGTGGAAGCCAGCAGTACCAGTATGAATGTGCATTATTAAGTAAATGATGCCACCCTCAATTTTGGATGTTAACCATCCTTTTTGCATTTTTAACAGCTGCAACAGAACTGCTGGCAGCTGGCACAAAAGGAGGGAGGGGAGAATGCGTGGGTAGACTGAGGAAAGCAAGGGAATTTTAACTAGGCAGGAAATTGGAACAATTAACTTTACACTTGTTCCTATATTACATTTTATTTTTCCTTTGCTTGCAAAACAGCTCTTTTTTTCCTTCTAATTAACAAGCAGGCAGCAAAACAAGCAAATAAATATTTCAATATTTTATTTATCTCACCTCCCCTAGGTGTTTTTGTGGCTGACAGAGACCCTGTGGACAATACATGCAGTGTTGAATGCTGCAGCGGTGGATGGAGTGGTTATGCTGGTAGTGCAGTAGTAATGGTGCTACTACGATCACATCCGCACTGTGGGCCATGGAGTACCGGAAATCACACAACTGACAGTTATAACTGGTCACAACTGCTTCTGAATCACTGCTGTTTGGGTCTCCTAGGAGCAAAAAGCAGAACAAAAGTAAATAAAACCTGGGCAGAAATTCAAATATTATCACGTATCATTTCTATTATGATAATCAAGGCAAACAAACATGAGGTGACAAGCACCACAAACAATAATAGAAGACTCATTTATTGAGGGCGATCATTTATCTTCGCTTTAAGCAGATACAATCTACCAGCAGTAACGAACATCATCTTACTGCCACGTTCCAATACATCTTCATTACCTTGGCTGGTGCTGGAGAGGTTGGATGGCTGATCTTTGCGGCCTTTTGATACCATTTGGTCTCTCTCTCCTCCATCTCTCCTTCCTCCTCTTTCTCGCTCTCTGTCGATCCCACCAGGATTAGAGTTGTTGGGGCTCGTAGTACCACCGGTGTTCATTTTGTGTCTTTGCTCATAGTGCTCTAAAAGCCTTGCAGAACCCCCCGACCACTCGCAACTCCAGCTGCAGGATTTACACCAATAATACGTCTGCACGGCGCCTCGACCAACCTCCCCCACCCAGCCCGATGAATCCGAACAAGACCTAACTGGGATGAAGTACCCGACCAAAGAGTCGTCCTCTGCGCGCACCGCAACTCGTTCGGCCCCGTCTAAGGCTTGACTCCGTCCCTTCAGCTGGTTGTCGTGCGTTGCCAGGTTATTTGTGGTCAGCAGGGGTGTGGTTGGCGGTGTTTTGACTTTGTTTGGGTGCGAGGAAAGGAAATGTTGTTCAAGTTCCAAGGAATTACTGCCCATGTACGTGAAGTTGCAGAATTTGCAGCGAAAGTACTTTGTGTTTCCTTGGCAATCCGAGGTCTTCCGACCGATTCCAATGAGCGTGCCACCCAACGTCACCTGTTGATAGGCAGAAAAGAAAAAGACAATAAAGAAGGAATAAAAATATATATTTAATACATAAACAGTTTGATTAAGAGGCAGTCTGCTTGCTTGTTATTGCTTCATGCAAATAAAAGATGTTTTTATTTATTGTCCATTTTCCATTTCCAGATGTCTGCATTTCCTAAAATTGCTGCTGCAAATGAATAACTACATATCAGACTCTTAATCTTGTGAAATAAAGAGCAATGCGGGAATTTCTTTATAATTCTTTAAATAGTTAAAGTTAATGCTAACTTTACATTTATTAAAGTACTTTACAGGATTCAGAGAAGGGGAAAAAAAAGACAATGACTGGTTATACTGCCTTTTCCTTAAAACAGACAAACATGAAAGAAATTAGATACAAGGCAGTTATTTTTGTGTTCCTAAGCAGCAGATATTTAAAGGACACATGGCACAAGCCACCGATCGTAGAGCTGTGCAGGATAATTATGCCTTAGCTACTCAAACCCACAATGAACATAATCCATTTTCCGTATGTAACTGTAGACAATTAAAAGGCAACTCTAAGTCTAACTAACCAACCAATAACAAAACTACTAGGCTCTACTGTAGTGTTTAGGGTCGAGGCCAAGGTTTTATATAACTAAGTCAGCAACCTGGCACTGTTTTTTTTTTAATTAAGTTAGCCTCTAGACAGTACGTGATTACACTGTGCTCATCGTTATGATAGTAATGAGGCAATCTGGCATGCCATACAGTGGCAATGGACTCCCTACTGTACAATATAGATTTGTCTCTAAATCTGAGGTTTTAAGATAACTATGGGCAGTGTGGTAACAGAGCTGCATGCTGCATGTGACATGAGCAAAGATGCAAAGCTCCATAGATAACAGAACGCCAAACAGATGCAATGCTCTTGTTTTTCGTTTCAATACTAGGAATTAGATCTCAGAATCAGCGAATGTGCAGCATGGCAGTTACGTCAATTGGTGTCAAGAACAGATTAGCGGGGAATGTTCTGTTCAGCTTTTATGTCATGTTTCCTAGTATAATGGATTGCTAGCATGCGGGGTTTTTTTGTGTGAGTTTGACAGGTTCTATATGTTTAGATATTTTTCATACTTGGATTTTTTTTAAAATAACAAGAGATACAAGTTTGTGTCTATGTTATACAAATACTGTCTGTTGTTTGGGATTTTTTCCCAAAATCTAACACAGAAATTAGTTTTTAAGACACGCAAAACTATTTAAATTATTTATTTGCCTAGTTTTATGCTTATGGTTAAACTGTATTGGGATTAAAAGTGGGAGTGAAGTTAAGATAAAGGGAAATTTGTAGTTTTTTTTATGATGGTACAAGGACATTTTTGAAGATGAAAGGTGTAAAAGATTTTTTTCTCTCTGTGTGTTTGTTTGTTTTTTAAAGAAACTACAATCAGTTCATAGGACAGCTGAAAATCTGAACTTTCCTCTTTTCATAAACAACAAGAGTGACAGTAAGGCAATCATTTTGCCAAAAAGGGTGGAAAAAGTAATATTTGTACAAAGAATTAAGCGTGAGATGGTATACGTCAACTCAGCTAAAGAAAATAAATGTTAAAGTCTAAATGAGAGTCATTACTGTACGTGATCTCACGACAGAAATTCAACAATTATCTCATCCAACAGACCCTGCCCAGACAATTAGCAAAGAGCAAAGCATCAAGTAATTTCACCAGGCAGAATGTGCAGGAAGACATGACCGAGAATATGAGACAGGGACAGAGTGAAAGAAAAGAGGCAAAGGGCGAATGGGACAAGATGAAAGAAAAAATTGTAAGTTGAAGAACAGAGCTGCAGAAAAAGAAAGAGGCGAAAGAGAGCCGGGAAGCAAATTGAGAAGTTGGAAAAATGGATTAGATAAAGTAATAGAGACTAAGAAAGACAAATCAAAGAAAGAGGGCAGAGCAGAGGAGAAGGTGAAGGAGAGACAAAGACTTGATAAGAGAGACAAATGGAGAAGCAGGAGAGAAGAAGACAGCTAAATATGTCTGACAGCTGTTTCATTACACTCCCTAACAGCCGATTATAACTACTGGTTCTCCGTCTGCCTCTGTCACTACCTTCTCTCCTTTCCTCCTCCATCTCGAGCACTCTCACTCATTCCTTCTCCCTTTTCTCCACTATGACTTTTTTGGGGGGGGTCTGGAATCTCATTGGTTGACATGGAATCTTGTCTTAGCAAATGACAACATGGAATTTTCCAAACGTGGGCGGGAGAGGGAGAAAAAGTGAGTGAGGGATGGAGAGAATAGAGACCCCTTTCATTCGGTTTTTTTTTTTTAAGTATATATATACTTTCACTTTTTCTTCATAATGACGACTTAAGCCCACTGGATTTTCTATTTCTGATTCGGTGTGCGTATGTGTGTGTGTGTCTGCACGCGTATGTGTATTACTGTGTCCATTACGTGACTTTAGATCATTACAGGCTGCTGGTTTAAATGAAACTAAACTCCTTCACTATTCTTGACACACACACGCACGTTTGTTGAATCATCCCACTAAATCTTTCACACAAAAACATCACAGTTCATGAATACTCGAAATCCTAATCCTTGACAGTTATTGCCAAAAATGAGCTTATATTTACAGCATATTGTAAACATTTGACGATTAAAGAATTTTTTCCAAGCGAACCTGTAGGTTATTACTGAAAATACTGCTAAACTGATAGGTGATTAGATATCACTGATCTGATTTAAGATCTCATTTAAACTTCGTAGCTCTTGAGGTAAAAATAGCAGACACATGAGCAGTTAGTCTGAGGCTTTAATGTTCAGTACTAACATGCACCGCAAATCAATACTGGCGCTGCTGATTTCACTGATTATGGACGCCTGGTAACACAAAGAACAAAATTATTGAAAACTACTTTTATCCTCCGATTGATTCGGTTCTGTTCTGTTCAATCTGTTGATGTCAGGTACAAAACACATCTCTTTTTTTAAAAATGTTTTTTGATTATTTATGATTAGAAGTTTGAGTACAGCGTCCTAGTATATCTACGACATTCACCTCGTAGAAGGAATTTTTAGTTGCAACTGCAAGTTTGCAGCATCCCCTTCATTCGCCTAGTTTTATAAAATGAGACCTCAATATGGGGATGAGCATTGATTTTATTGAATTATTTAACAGCTATAATCATGCATATGGTGCACATGCGAGCATTTGTCTATGCACGCATTCCCTGCAAAAGATTTGGGAAGTCGACACTATGGCTTTTGTGCGTGCGCGCGCACGTACGCTTGACTATGCATACCCCCATATGCACGACTTGTCTGCCAGGTGCCCCGGTTGTCTCCCTTTCTGTGTCTATCCATCTGTCAGTCTATAAAATTTTATAACTTGCAGCACAATGCCTCCCTGTCCAAATAAGGCACACCCTATGTTACAAATCAGTTGCAGATTGCTCTACCCAATAAATTATTCCATTCAGTTATGAGCCTAACTTTGCAGATTTATTACAACTGTGATTACAGCGAACTGTTAACTAAATCAGTGTTACTTGTATTGGATCAAAGTTTCTAACTATGATTACATAAAATGTTTCATATACAGTATGTCGCACTTCTTCGAGTTATTATGACATACAAATTTAATAACTGGAACTTTGATGTAAATGAAATGAATGCAACATTTTTGAGTTTTCTTTTAGAACTTTACGCCAGTTTTACTAGTGCATGTTGGTGCACACAATGATGCGCATTAAACATATGCAAACAAGACTGAGACTGCATTGCATCCATAAGTGCATATTTCTGATGTTACTGTTTTACCACAAAATAAAAGAAAATTGTTGTATAATTAATTATAAGATTATATCAAATGTGCCGGAGCCCTGCCATAATCTCTAACACCAGTTCTAGTCGAGGCATAAGTGCGTCAACTTGTGTTTGTTATCTTAAAAAAAAATCTGTTTCCAAGGTAACCCACGTGGAAAAGAAATACAACAACAACTTTAAAAAGTTTCAGATGATGTCAACGTGGCCACTTTCACATTTTTCTCACACTACATAAAGTTTACTGGATTTATACCTGATCCGCATAAATACGTGGCATGTGCAAAATAAAAGTATATTTAAATAACATCATTTGTACGTGTGTAATAACAGCATTATTATAAGCCTAACAGGAAATACACATCAGAAATACATGTTTCTTTACTAGTTCTTTGTGTGGAGCTCACACCCTGATCCTTGTCATTGTTTCTCTACATTTCCACTGCGGTAAAGAAAAGACCAGGCCCATCACTTTAGCTGTTTTAACGTGTGGGATGTCTGAAAAAGTTTAGATGACGTTCCATCGTGCCTCTTTTCCGTGCACATACACACACAGACAGAGCATCCACGGCGGACAGGCTGAAGCCTCCCTTTTGGTTATAAAAAAAAATCTAACCACGCACCTTCCCGTAGGGTTGTGAAACAATATAAGCCTGTTTATCACTACTTCAGAACGCAACCACTGAGAAACAACCAGAAAATAAAGTTTGGTTTGTCTGATTCACGGGTTTGTTCACATTCACTTTCTAGCATGCTTGACCACAACTGCTCAGTCTCTCTCATTCCCTCTCTCGTTCTTGCGCTCTGAATCAGACATGAAGGCCCGAGTTACAATGTGGTATTTACAAGCAATACTCAACAAATTCTGCGGAATACCTTGAAGTAAAAAACCATCTCAAATGACTGTGAGATGAGACAAAACGCTGCAGTTAGGCTACTTGACAAATGGAAATATATTGAGTCCCTCCAAAAGTTTCTAGACCCTGGGAAAAGTTCCTGTGGTGGAAAAACGGCTTATGAGAGCTTCCACGCTGCAGGAACTAACTCCAGGGGCTATTAACAGTTAACAATTTCTACTGTGGGGAAATTAATTTTACCCCTGAACAAAAGAAAAGAAAAAAAAACTCCCCGGGAGATTAATACTTTTCAATAGGTACAGAAATTTCTGGGTGAGGCTTGCAGCACTTAACATTTTTGATCGCACACACACGACATTTCAAGGGTTGGAAATATAGAAAGTCAACCGTCTGAAGCATGTCTGGATGGCGTGAGAGAAAAATCCTTGGGAGTTAAATTTCCTGGTACTTTGAGCGGAAGCTCTAAATTAATGGGAAAAGAAATGCCTTTTGCAGTCTGGCATGCTGGCAGGATGAGAGTCACCAAATCTGAGAACATACTGTGGAAAATGGGCCACAGATACCAAAATTGGCAAACTTCAATAGTACTTTGGAATACCACACTGACTTTTATGAAAGCCAATCAGCTCCAAAAATTAAGGCTTTCTGTGGGACTGAGGAGGTTTTTATTTTATTTTATTTTTAACCCCTTTTAAAATTCCTTAAAAGGGCTACTACAGCACATAGTTGTTGTTTTTTTAAATATATTCAGTTATTAAAGTATGGAGTATTTTAAACACTTTTATGAGTATTTCACACCCAGGACTTACCTGTACGTCATATGTGCCATTCATCATAACTGTCCTATGCTGCTGACTCTGTATCTCTGGTCTTGTCTTCCCCAAGTCTTTGGCTTGGCTCCTCTGCCCTTGTCCCGCCTGTATGTCTGACATGAGAAATGCAAGAAGGGGTCAGACTGGTAGAAACAGATAAACAAAGAGGGCTCAAGCTGCTTGAGGCAAAAAAAATGTGAGAACTAGCCTGACATCTGGGAAGAAGGAAAACTAGACTCAGAATCAACATGCTGTTTTTCTAAGTAACTGCTATGTCCTTACTGGAAGACAAGTTCAAAGTATATATATGTATATATATATAAAATAGATGAACTCATATGTATTTTTGGCAGTTTTCTCCTGTACTGGTTCATATTTGCTATGACTGTCCAGGTCTTTAGGGTCATACATTTCATTCTCCATTATAAACTCATTTCTATAATAAGCGCTGGACAGAGAAAGCTGAAGTTACCAATAGGTGTGTGTTGGGGAGCCATGTTGTGGAGTGCCAGGATGTGTGTGTCCAGAGCAGCATCCTGCCGTGTGCGGTTGTGCAGGCCCAGGTGATACTTCCGAAAGTGCTTCACCAGGTCAGCCGGGTCGTTGCCATAGTAACCGTAGCCACACACATTGCACTTGAAGTCCTGGAGTTTAGGAGAGGGGCTGGAGGAAAGCGGAGGGGTATCGGTCGTGGTCTCCTCCCCTCCTTCCTGTCTTGGGAGGAGGTGCGGGGCAGAGAGGAGAGGAGGGGTGAGATGATCTGCCTCCCCCCTTTCTCTGTCGCTTCTCTCCCCTTCTTCTACCGCTCTGTCCCCGTCCTCAGGCTCCGACTGGCTCTCCGGCCTGTCCGTCAGCGCTGCTCCTCCTTGCTTTGCCCTTCCCCTGCCTCCTCCTCTCCTCCCCCCTCGCTCCTCATTACCGTAGCGATCGCCAACAGACGAGGGAGAGACAGACGAGGAAATGCACTCGCTCTCTCCCCCCTCCTCCTCCTCCTGCTGCTCCTCATCTCCTCTGACCCGCTCGGAGGATTCCGGCTCGGAGGGTCGGTTTATTCGTTCGGCCTCTGCTCCCACTCTCCCTTCCTCCTCGCCTTCTTCTTCCTCTTCTCCCGCTGGCCTCTTCCCTTCTTCTTCCTCTTCCTCCTCGCCTCCCACACTCCGGATAGGGGGATTCTTCTTCCTCACCATTTCTACAAACATAAAAATAGAAGAAAAAGAAAATTATGATTTGTTACCATGTATTAAGGGAGGAAGAAGAAGGAGCTTGGGGATAAAAAACAGCAAGCTGACTTCCCTCGAGACACTAAAAGATACAGAGCCTTTCAAACTCCAGTAATATTCTGCATATAACGCCACACATGCACACAAATACAATTATCTGACAATGATGTACAGTATGTGCGCAAAATAGCTTTGATTTAATTTACAGACTTCTTTGAACACCAAAATCTGCGACAATCCTCGACCACAAACCTCGTCAAAGAAAAACAGGCGCAACAAATCAGAAACATCTCAGCTGCGAGAGATTTTTTTTTTCTTTTTCAGGATTTTTTTTTTTTTTGGAGGGCGGGTACTTGCTGAAATGTGACGGCCACCCCCCCACCAAAAAAAAGCACCCATCGTACAACTTTTTTTTTTTTCCTTTTTCAACCCAACTGGGGAGTGAATCTTTTTATCGTTATGGAAACCATCCGTGAGAATCTTCCAACACGTGACCACATCAAGAACCCAAACCATATCAGAGAGACGGGAGAGACAGCGAGGGGGGAGGAGGGTGAGGCACGGAGAGAAACGGGGGAGACAGATGAAGGAGAGGAGACGGGGAGAATGGCCAACGCACAACCACATCAAACCGAACGCCCCATATCAGAAAGATGGATGAGGGAGGCGGCAGACTGCAATTCATTCCCTCAAGCGCTCCAAATTTCTCCTTCCCATTTTGCTCCTCTGGTTTTTTGCTTTTTTTGGTTGTTTTTTTAACCTTTCATTCATTTTCTGGCTTGCAAATTCTCATTTTCTCATTTCTCACTGTCTCTCACACTTTTATCTGCATCACCTCCTTCGGTTTCCTCTTTTGATTGCCTACTTTTTTCCCCCCATGTCACATTTTGCTTTTGTCCCGCCCCACTCATCCTCTTTCTCTCTCTCGACCTTTCACCTTTTTCCTGCTTGCGCATCCTTGTGTAAAACACAAATATCAAAGAAATGAAGTGCCAAGTCATTTTTTTATTCTGTGTTGCCCTCTTTCACATGCAAGAATAATTGCAACAATAACTTAAGTAATTCCATCATTAAATGTTTTCTTTCTGTTCCTGCCCTCCCCCCCTCCCCTCCTTCCCTTATAATCACTGTACAAAGCCATCAAATAACCAAACATGTGTTTTATGTTAAACCATAATCTTTCTTTTGTTCAAAAGGGGAACAATTGTGGTTGTAGTGTTCACAACAGTCGTGACAGGGAGATGCTGCATGCGTTTTGTTTTTTTGCTCTTTTTTTTGTCTTCCTTGCACAAGTGTGTGCGTGCGTGCGCATACGCGCGCATCTGTGTTTATTTGTGGTCATTCGGTTCATATTCGGGGGTGCACAGTCAACCCGGAGAGCCCGTACACCCATTTCTTTTGGTCATAAACAAAGTCAAACCCAACCGACGCCTGATTGACGCCAAAACTGATCACTTTTAGATCAATGCAATATGAGGGGGGAAGACACTGGTTGTCTTTGAGGGTTTTATGTGTGAGTAATGCATTATTTGATGATAAACCCAGAAAGCATGTGCACCACCCTGTGAGCATCTGTGAGAGACAAAAGCTTGTTGTTATTTACTGATAGCAACCTGCAAACAGTTAAAGCGTGAGAGAACTGACACACACACACACACACACACACACACACACACACACACACACACACACACAGCTAAAGAAAATATGAGAATACGTTTGAATATCCATAATCGGGTGATGATGCACAGTGACAATACCCATATTTGGGCAGCGTTCTGTTGTTATCTAGAGGATTAGAAAATACTTAATAAACAGAGATAGAGAGGAGAGCAAAACAGAAAATGAGAGAGGGGTGCTGTTTTTGTTGAATCCAATCTCTCCGTGGCCTTTGTAGTATTTGCCTTTTTTCTCCCACTCTCTCTCTCTGCCATACAACTATTAAAATAAAGCATTTATGTCTGCAAGGGCCCACGCCTAGACCAGCCCTGGCACTCGCCCTGTGCGTGTGTGTGTGTGTGTGTGTGTGTGTGTGTGTGTGTGTGTGTGTGTGTGTAGGGAAAGAGAGGGAGCGGGAGAGTGTGAGTGAGTGCAGGGAGCAGGGGAAAATCTCATCTGATGTCGACCACACCCAGTCAGAATTCATCATTTACACACACACACACACACACACACACACACACACACACACACACACACACACACACAGTGGAAAACTACAGATCGTTGTGGTAAAGCAATGAAGCTGAAACCCCGACCTAAGAAGCACTGACTGACCTAAACTATGTTTCCGTATGCCCTGTATGATCCATCCGACTGGTGACTTAGTAAGTTCACCGGTGATGACAATTCTTGCATTAACACAGCAGCAAGTAGAAGGAATTATTCTGTAGCCTTTATTTATTTATGCTGGAATCATTTGGTCTTATGCATACTTCAGTGCCACTTTTATTGGATGCGGGCAGGAAGCAGAGGTGTGTCTTTAAAGGCCCGACTGTGTGTTTTTTGGGTGTAAGCATCTGTATATATGTGTGTGTGTGTGTGTGTGTGTGTCTCTCAGTGTCGCAGCAGAGCTTTTGTCTGATCCAGGCTGTATACACAGACTGGAACCATTACTATCAACTACAATTAGGTACAACCCACCACAACATACCGCATAACAACTACTGCTACTAGCTACAATTAGCCCTTATACACCACACTGGCCTCAATACCTCAGCAAAGATAAATGTGACAGCTAATCATTTCCATCAACTACAATTAGTCCCAACACCAGTGAGGCTTTTATCTAAAATTGCCAATAATCATCCAACGACAACTGCTGAAAGACGCAGCAACAGGAGTATGGTAAGTTTCAGACGCATGTGGCAGACGGAGGACCATGTTGGGGAACTTTGTTGTGAAACTTACTCTTTTGCTACATCTCAGCGTTTCTTTGTGTGGCTCGCTCGTGTTTTCCAGAGAAGCGCTATAAATCAACTTCAAAAATTTCATCGTATTCGAGCAGTTCAAACTCAAACCAGCAGGTATTTTCAACCAAGCGCTCGCATGCACGCTAAACAGCATTTGCTTTTACGTCAGTTATTTACAAGAAGACTTTTCCAGAATCAGAGCTGACGTGTTCAAATTTCTTGTTTTGCCTTCTCATCAGTCAAAAATCCAAAGATATCTGCAACAAACCCTCATATTTGAGGGGCTGTAATCAACAAAGGTTTGTCAATTCTGCTTGTTCACTTACTCCAGTGATTAATTGTCAGCAATTAATTTGGCCATTCATACAATCTTTGTCACAAAAAGAACAAATTAATCAGCTTGTTTTAACGCTACGAACGACAGCGGAGGTCACTCCTGTCGTTTGTCATGCGTTTTGTAGGGGTCTAACACATGTTGCTTTAATTAGGTTATATAAACAATATCTTACTCCATTTCAACCACATCATGTTTACAGCATCTTAGTGCACCGCCAGCCTGGCAATGAATTTTCATGCGACTCATAAGAAATCAAAAGAGGCCTTTGTCATTCAGAGAACAAAGTTAGATCTCTCTAATGGAGGAAAACAGATTACGAGTACATCTCAACCATTTTACACAGTGACTCCAAGCTAATTCTCTAAATGCATATTATTGAGTCACGGTAATGGATGGGTTTGATACCGAATCTCAACACATCCACATATCCCTGCTGCCTCCAGATATCTGTGCTCTCTCCCTCCCCGTGGGACAGCTGTAGCTGGCATCTCCATCTTTCATAAACAAAGGATTAATGTGCAACATATGAAGAAATAAAGCTAAAGGCAAGGTCTTATTACAAAGACAGACTTCTCTCTGGCTTTTCTTTCTCTTTCTTGATGCGCTGCTTTCTGGCTCTTCGTGTCATCCTCTCCCCCTCTTTGTCCCTATCTCTCCTGCTCCTCATTATCTGTCCTCGCTTTCTTCTCGCGGTGCCATCTCTGTTCCTCTCTTCTGATTTACTGGAACTTTGTGAGATTTGGAAAAGATAGAACAACTTACGGGTAAGTAAGGTGCACATGAAGGAGAGGTACGAGTCAGGGAGAAAGAAACGCACGAGGGAGATGGTGGGTAAGGACTTTTAATTGGAATAAGAATCCTGGCACTGTGAAAGGGAAGTAAAAGGAAGGAGCGTAGACGTTTGGAGGGGATGAGAGGTTTTAGACGGGAACACAAATGTGTTTTCTTCTTTTAAGAAGGAAAAAATGCTGATTGTCTTGGGAAATGGATAGACAGGAGCAAAGAAAGGGAGAATAGGAGGAGAGAAAAAGGAAAGAGGCAAGGAGCAGATAAGCTCCACATACTAACAAGACACCCCCCCCCCCCAACACACACACACACACATATAAAAAAAAAAAAACAGTAGATGATTTGAATATAAAGCTTCCTGTGATGTCCAAAACAAGTTCACATTCTGCATGTGGAAAATCAGTGTTTATCATCACTTCATAGGTATATTTCATAAACCACCTTTTATCATCCTTCAAAGTCACTGCATACCCACAAAAGCAAACTCATTACTGAATGCTTTAAAGAGATTCTACCACATTTCGGGCCTATTTTGAACACTGAAGATCGAGTCATGCTACAGGTCAGGCTTCCCGCTGGGCACCCCTCGTACAGCCTGCAATATAATGACTATGGGGTTTAAAACAATTCTGCAAGCCGCAATTTGAACTCAGGTTTATTTTGACTAATTTAGCAAAACAATCGCCTCCCAAATATCTTGGTCTGAGTCTGTGTGTGGAAGTTTAGCTGAGAAAACCACAGACAATGACTGACTTTGCAGAAATGTGAGAGCAGGCTCCTCTGAGCTTCCTCATTAGAGCTGCTGGACTATTCATACATCTTGTGGCTATCAGACACTTGCATTTCCAGCTTCATATCTGAGACTGGATCCGGTATGGCTCATGTATGCATCACACATGGGTGGTTTTAAAGACGTGCTCACTTTCGGGTC